AATAGAACATAAGCAAACTTATAAAGTAGGCTTTGGAGACTGGCTATTCAGGAAGAATGATGAAGCGAAGAGAAGAAATTTTTGATCTTGAGAAACTAGTAAAATGATGAGATTACAGAAGAAAAGAAGAAAAGAAGAATGATTAGTGAAGAAAATATGTAAGCTAGTTTTAATTCTCTAAGGGTAATTCTCAAGTCCCTAAGATCTATAGTAGATGCTGTCTGTGGGTTGTGTGAAGAGACTTTTAACAATACCTCTCCCCTTGAGCACAGGCTCCCAAGCAGGTGCTGTGTGAACATCTTTTTTCATCTGCAAGTGACAAAACTGAAGGCCTGGAACCCTGTTTCAGTTTATGTTGCTCCACTTACTCACATCTTTCACATCCTCAACTTACTTCATTCATTAGGCAGAGGATTTCAGATAAACATTCTCCAAGCCCATGATTTGTCAAAAGCATATGGTCACAGTGTTTTTCTGACTTTGGACCCCAGCATATTCTGATTCATTCAGTCCTACTGCAGCCTGCCTCCAACAATTAATGTTATTCCTAGAGAAATTTACCAACAACCAAGAACAACACCTGCATCTCTTTTTCCAAACCCACCTCCTATTGCTTCTACCACATTTGTATACACAACAGAATACAGTAAGGTCCAGGTTTGCACTGTCAGCAAAACAGGTTACCTCCTTGGTCTTATAGCTTGCAGGAATAGAAAGTATTAACCTTAATTGTGGAAAAACCCACCCCAGGGTCTAGAACCTTAAGTCCAATCTTCCAGGGTTCCATCCAGAATGATATGGTAACAGAAAGAACTAGATGACATATCTAAGTGATCAAGTGATACATTTTGCTTTTAAATACTAGATCCTCACCCAGGAGCTCAGATTAAATTACCCAGCCCAAAAGTTTATACTACAGTGATGACACAGAACTTTTCTGGCAATCTCATGAACCAATATTTTAAACTTTCCCAAATTCTGTTGAGCTGGTATTTCTGGCAATGTGAGCATATGTTCACCTCTCAGGGCTCTTTTTGAATCTATCTATGCCAGTTTTATTGATGCGTGCATATGTGCAGGCATCCTAGATCCATCTTCTTCTGGAGGTACATCTTGTGCCTCACCCACCCAAATTATGCCCACTTCTCAACTATAATATTTTGTTGAAAGTAGAATTAGAATGCAATCTTCTGTTCAAGAACACAGAGTTTCCTGAAAGTCACTAAATACAACATTCATCCTTCCCTAAGAGACTTCCTGGGGATCGTTAAAATGCAACAGCAGAGAAATCCGGAGAAGCACATTATGGTGAACTGGACTTGTCACTCACAGTACGAAGGACTCTGACAAGATTTTCCAAGATCTCCTTCCTCATTCCTAAGATCTTATCTGTGGCTTGAGATCTTGACACATTATAAAGACAATAACTTGAAGAAAAGAGAGAGATGACAATGGCCATTTTACCATCTTTGTACAATATCAATGATTCACCAAAAAAGACAAAGTGACACTAGAACTGCACTTCAGAAACATATTAGTACCTGAAAATCTATGGCTAATCAGATAGAGACTGCAGACTTTAAGATCTCTTCTAGCTAGTCAAAGCTTATATCACTTGTTGATTCAGCAAAAATATTTTTTAATCATCCCCTTTATAACAGGCTACTTATACCCAGTCTAGGCACTAGCATACAAATTTCATTAACACAGATAAAATGTATGATGCCACAGTGCTTAAATTTCAGATGAAAATGACACTTAATGCATAAAAATAAATGAGATAATTTTTACTAATTCAGTATTGGAGCAGGATGTGACTGAGGTGGCATGTGCTACTTTAGCTAAAGTTTTAAGGAAAGACCTCTCTATAACACTTGAGTTTAGAGCTGAAAAGTGTCCCAAAATAATCCATGTAAGATCTGACTGAAGAATGGTCCATGTGGAGGGGAAAATAGGCATAATTGTGCTGTAAGCCAAAAGAATTTTGGTGTTAATAAGACAGAAAGAAGTCTAGTGTCAAAGAAGCATAATATCCAGTAGGGGACAGATTAGATGTAGGACCAGAGAAGTTAGCCTGATCCATATAAGAAGTTCAAGAACTGTGGTGACAAAAAAATTAAGGCAGTGGGAAAAAACTCTATTCAAACAGGAGATATCAGAACTATACTTAAACTGCACACCTGAGTTAGTTAGATACTGAAAGTTTCCTACCTGAGCATCTTCATTTTGATGGAGAAGGACCTTCTACCATGGGATGGAACCTCATTATTTATTGCTCCAAAAGCCCTTTAAAATTCTGCCTTCCTCTCTGAAATCTGATGGCTGCCTCTAGATAGGCTGTCGGTATACCTTCTGCATTCAGAAGGTGATGAACTCTCAACACAGAAAGGACGGACCTCAACATGCTGTTCATATGTAAGAGTACAGATTGGATAAGTGAATGATCCCAAGGGACACAAGGGAATGCCCTATATAGAGTATTAAGTTCCCACTAAAAAACCTATACAATCTGCTCGATTACTCCATCCGAGGGAAGATGTCAACTGGACATCAGTATAAACACTACACCTTAATAGCTTTCTGCCCTCCAACAGGCTCATCAAATGAATCTCAATTAAGGCAACTGGATAATTTTAAAATACACACTAAAAATTAAGGGGGCAATAAAGTATATGTAATAATAATAACAATAAATCAAAATGCTAAAGAAAATAAACGTCACTAGGAGGGCATCTGATCAATGTATCCCTTCCTTGCTTGGCTTTGTCCATAAAAATAATCCTTACTCTCCATGTTCTCTTCCTAACTTCCCCAAATATGAATGTATCCCCTGAATATGTGTATCCACAAAGACACATATAGTAATACACAATTGCAGAGAAGTAGGAATGTCAGTCCAACCCCACTATCTCGTTGGCAAGAGAAAATCTCATGTGTTATTATTTTCTTTAAATATCTCTGAAGATGCATGAACACCATGACAGCTACGAAGTCTGAAATACTTAGCTGCCCCTTTCACCTTTGATGGGAGACAGAGAAAGAATTTTAATAAGAGTATAGCCAAATGATGCAGAGATGCCAAAGAGGAAAGGAATTAAGACAATTTATTTGACAATACATTTATTTCAGTCAGTATTTATTGAGAAAGATCTCTTTCAGGACAAACCAGCTACGTAATTTGTGAGGCCAGTATAAAATGAAAATGCAGGATCTCCTTCAAAAATGAACAGGATTTTGAGATGGCAACAGCTGCACAGGTTACCTGCCCACAATCTGCCATGAACCAGGTGAGGCTTTTGATCAGGGACACAGATACAAACACATAAATCTTGCTTTCAAACAAATGAGAGAAAAACACAAAAATTTTAAAATTACTGTTTGGAGTAGGAAGAGATGAGTGTATTTAGGAAGAACAGTCCAATTTGGTGTATAAAGAAGAGCTTTCCCCTGGATGATCCAGGGAAGTTCTTAAGAAAGAGGCATCTGAATTAAAATTTGAAGTGATGTACATGTGGCTGAAGTAGAAAAGATATTCTGGAAGATGGGAGGGAAAAAAGCAGATTTCCAAAAGGGTGTGGGTCTCTGACAGAACAAACCGCTTTAGCAAAATCATGCTTAGTTTGGAGCTATGAATCATGTTTAAACAGAACCAGAAAGGGATTTTATGTGGAAGGTAAAACTAATGACACTAGAGTTGATTTAGTCTGGCTTTCCATTTCTTTAAGAGTCTGTTTTTGATCCATGATTCCTGTGCCAAGCAGAGCTGATGTCCTAAATTCCTGGGGTCTTTGGTTTTGGCTCCTGTGGGAAAGGCAGGGTGGGAGATAGAGAAGACATCCTGATTTGAGCTGTGGGAGAAAAAGAAGATCTCGGTCAGATAAGGGAAATCAGAGAAAGGAGAAAGAGAGGAAAAAAGAAAACAGAGGAAAGAAGAATAAGCTGATAAGAAGCTGAAGAGACAAAACAAGACAAGACTCACCTCTGCTTTTTAAATGATGAATCAACTATAACCAACATGACCAGGGTAACTATTACAATTAAGCAGATCAATATTGAGAAGAAGGAGTATCCACCTAGGTGGGGATAAAGTAAGAAAATCAATCTATAAAGTGCTCTTTCTTCTACCACAGTTAATGCTTCTCATTTCACAGTGGCAGGACCTCCCCAGAGTTTTACTCCGCCTTTTCTAGAGTCCTCATTTCAATTCCTCCTGAGTCTGTGTCTCTGGTATGTCCACTTTTTCTTCTTTCATCAAATCTCTAGGTCCTTCTTTTTTTTCTCTCTAGTACCTCTAATCCTCTTCTTGCATTTTCTTCAAATCTAGCTGCTGTCATGCTGCACCCTTCTTTCCATGGATTTCCCTACCTGTATCCTCTTGTGCATAGCATTTCTGGCCATTTTTCTAAGTTCCTCACTCATTAGCTGTTTTTACTATGAGAAGACTATCACCTCCCATCAGGCCCCAGTTCTCACTCACCCCAGTGGATGATGATGTCCTGGCCTCCTAGGCTGCTGTGCTTCACTCGGCAACTCAGGCCAGCCGCCTCCCCAGCCGCCACATCCAGAGTTACTCGGAGATACCAGGTCCCATCAGCATTGGGCAGGACATCACCTCGCCGAGACCCTGGGTGCTTCTGTTTGCCCCTCATCCACATCACCCATACGGGCTTTGGATGAAAGCCAGAGACATGGCACACCAACAACAGACGGCCAGGCCCAGGACTGGGGCCTTTGGACACCCAAGCCTGTGGCTTCACTACAGAAGAAAGAGGAGAAGAAATAGAATTTAGGAGGGCACCCTAGGCTACAGCTTAGTGACTTAAGGTTCCTTAAGTAGTTTGAGTAATCACTCCTTTCTCTTTTCTAGGAAGTAATTCTAAATCCAAACATCTCGCCCTTTAGCTTCTTATTATATGTTTGAAAAGGTTGATAAAGAGTAGAAAACTCAAATACAGGTGCTGAAGCACCAGGAATCGGAGGGGAGAAAGAGTTGGACTCACCTTGTCTTTCCAGTTCTGACTTCCCTGCTTTAAGGATTCCTGCCAGAAACCGAGGGCAGGTGTCAGTGAGAAGCCTTTGCACAACTTCTTTAATAATTCGGTAGTGGTTGAGCACCTTACAGACATTCTCAGCTCGACTTCCTGCTCCTGGAGATGGCTTCCAGGAATTTTCTTGGAAACTCAGGAAATCTAATCCTTGATATGCTCCATTTAAGAAGGTTTCCAAAGCCTTCCCAGTATGAATTAAACATCCAAATGATACCTGGAGCTCAAAGGGGTCTGCGGGTAGATAAGGAAGAGAGATTCAATATGGAAAGAATTACAGGGAAGGAAAGTAAAGAACCTAGAGAGTTAAAGGAAGGAAAACTTGCTGGGGGATCACATGGAAGGCCAAAGGTGGGATAGGAAAAGGGGAGGAAGTTTCTGGGAAGAAAATTTCAAGATAATAAAGGTATTTTGAAATAATTAAGGGGAAGGGCTAGGCTGAAGGCTGTTAGAGAAATAGAGGACATAGCCTGGAAGAGCAGACTGGGGAGTGGTGAGATAGAGGCAGAACCTTGTAAACACGGAAGAAAGGAGGGCAGAGTCTTGGTTGGGAAGGGCTGACTCTTAGGCCAGGGTGCTGGGCAGAAGATCAAGAACCAACAGTTATTTGAGGTCTAGAACATGATGGTATTTTCAGAAGTGTGAGAGCTATGTGTATTGAGGTGGGAGAACTAGAGTGGGAGTGGTGGTGAAGGGTGCAGCAGAGGGACAGTGCCGAAGAGGAGACAAGGAACAACGTCAGCATCCATATTCAATCTATCCTTTGAAAGATGGTCAGAGCCTTCTGGCAAATATTATCTTGGAATAAGGAACTCACATTCAAACTGAAACTGACTGGCATAGGCCTGCACTTCCCGTGGGAAACTGTGGAAGTACAGCTGCAAGAGTGCCTGGATGTTCTTCAGCTCCTCCTTGCTGAAGTTACCCTGGGACCAGGGCCTCAGAAAGCGGATGGTGGCCAAGACACTATCCCAGCCATGAGTCTGCAGGTCGCCCAGCCAGCCAGAGCCCTGGGTGTACGTCCAACTGTGATTGGCAAAGGAGGAGATCTGGATCATGCGGAAGGAGGGGGATTCTTCTGCAGCCAGATGATGGGGTCCTGGAACCTGAGGACCTGAGAGAGGGAGTGAAAGCATGGGGAAAGCTGGCCCCATAGTAGAGAGGATGTATGGAGATGGTTACACAGGTTGCACATATTCCCATAGCCTCTGCCCCTCGGCCAGCATCCTCTCCCCAAAATCAGGCAGATTAACTGAGACTATGACAAAGAATACTTTGCTTGGAACTAACCTTGTGTGCAGACTCCAAGGGTATCCTGTAGGTGCATTACTCCCTTCCCCTGGGTCCTCCCCAGAACCTCTCCACCCTGCAGTGCCCAGCCAAGGTTATCTTTCCACCTGCGATCATCTTACCCACTGTGCTTGTGCCATGGCCAAGAAGTCCCTTGAACAGCAGAGGCAGCAAAAGCAGCATTGAAGCTCTGTTAGGTGAAGGATGCCTGCACAGCCAAGCTGATCTCAGAACTCAGACACGGTTCCCCTCTCTACCCTCTCGCCCTCTCATCTGACTTCCCTTGGCACACTAACACGCAAACCTCTGCCTCTGCTGACTTCCCTGCTAGAGAAACCCTACAGCCTCTGGCAGTCACGGGCCTCCCACACAGTCTCACTTCCCCTCCACTTCTCCCACTAGCTGGCTTCCTGATTTTCTTCTGCTTGTGCCTATGCCCTCTTGACCCCATCTACTGCAGCTGGTCCTGGCTTCTGAAGTCTATTGTCTGTGATTTGGCTGGAATATTTAGCATCTTTTAGCCTTGGAGAAATCAAGTCCATACTCAGCTTCTCAATGTCTTCCTCTATGAGAAGAAGTGCTGGAAGGTGATCAGTGATGCCCAGTGGCCTTTTCAGCAGTCTCCTCGCCCCTCATTCTTCTGTGGTCTCCTCCTCCTGTATGCCACTTGGCTACCTTTCCCCTCCTTCTTGGTCTCCCCTGTTTTTCTCTCCTAACCAACTGCTTTCCCTCTGGAATCAACACTCACTCCTCTCACTTGTCCTGCCTGTTCTACCTGTCATCTCAGTCCCCTTCTGTCCCTTCATTCTGCTCTGCTCAAAATCATTGCCAGAAACACTAGACATTTTGAGTGTAGCTGTTAGTCTACAGGCAAACCTCATTCATAATCCACAATGAAAAAGAAGCAATGACAATACAGGTTATCAGATAATCTATAGAAAAGACCCTTTTGCTCAGTTTTCCCGGTCAGACTAGTTGTCACTGTTGAAGGGTCTATGACTGAGTTTAATCTGGAAATGGTGAGCTGGGAGGCAGGTGGATTTCCAGTCACATTGTGTGAGTGGGTCTGTGGGAAGTATCCAGGGGCCTTGGAACCCATCCTTACCCCAAATGAGTTGAGTGTGTCTACAGATGGTGGGCAAGCTTGGCTCTGGGTATGAAGGGTGGGCATGGCCGAGGAGCACTTATGTCCCCTTTGGTGGTTGTTGACAAGAGAAGAGCTTTATTGGAGGCAGGGAAGTGACTCTAAGGGACTGTAGTATGCATGGGAGAATCAATTATTGAGTTGAGTATTTTAGTTCCTTGCATTGACATTTGCTACAGCAGCCTGAAAGCAGTTGAAACATCTTTCCTCTGTTTGGCCATTCATCTGACATTTAATTAGTGCCCACTTGGTGCCAAACAAATTTGCCAGACACTTAGGTTCAGAGAAGAAATTTCTTTGGAGAAGAGAAAACAAAACCCAACTAAAATGTCTACATTTACTATAAAGTTTACTGAATAGTGATCATAATTGTGGAAAAAAGATCCACACTCAGTCTCATCCTAGTATTGTTCCTGAATTCCAAAGACAAAAAAAATTTTTTTCACAGTTTCAGACACACACTGGCTATTTATAAAGAAGAGAAGGGCACAGGCTTCAGACTCCTCATGTACGATGCTATGGGGAAATATTTCAGAACTCTGAGGTAATGAGATAATTCTAAATTATGTTATTCAGGCAAATTATCATTCCCCCATGAAGGCAAAGTTAAGCCATATTTGAACCCTCAGGAAGTCAAACAATATACCACACAACTCCCTTTATGAAACTGAGTAAAACCAAAAATTTGCCTCAAAGTCAAACCATAAAGAAGGCTGAGCACCAGCACCGAAGAGCTGATGCTTTCAAACTGTGGTGTTGGAGAAGACTCTAGAGAGTTACTTGGAAAGCAAGAAGATCAAACCAGTCAATCCTAAAGGAAATCAACCCTGAATATTGATTGGAAGGACTGATGTTGAAGCTGAATCTTTAATACTTTGGCCACCTGATGCAAAAAAGGTAACTCATTGGAAAAGACCCTAATCGTGGGAAAGATTGAGGGCAAGAGGAAAAGAGGGTTACAGAGGATGAGATGGTTGGATGACATCATCAACACAATGGCCATGAGTTCGAGCAAATTCCAGGAGATAGTGAAGGACAGGGAAAACTGACATGCTGCAGCCCATAAGATCACAGAGTCAGACACAACTTAGAGACTGGACAGCAACAACAATAAAGAACCCAATAAACGATGCAAGAATATTGATATGAAATTATTTTTAAGAGCTTCCCTGGTGGCTCAGGAGTAAAGAATCCACCTGCCAATGCAAGAGACACAGATTGGATTCCTGGTCAGGGAAGATCCCCTCCTGCCATGAAGGAAACAAGCCTGTGTGCCAAAACTATTGAGCATGTGCTCCAGAGCACAGGAGCCACAACTCCTGAGCCCATGTGCCACAAATACTGAACGTCGGCTGCCCTAGAGTCAGTGCTCTCCAATAAGAGGAGTTACTGCAATGAGAAGCCTATGCACCAACTACAGAATAGCCCCTACTTCCTGCAATTAGAGAAAAGCCCACACAGCAATCAAGACCCAGCACAGTCAAAAAAAACACACATAAATAAAATTATTTTTAAGTTATTTTTAAAATATATAGTTAAGTCTAAATAACTGTTTAAAATGAACTTGTACATTTTAACATATTTGTTTACTATTTCAGAAAAAGTGATAATATTCAAGGAATTAAAGTCTATTTTAATTCATCAAAACCTGAGAAGGGAAATGAAAAGAAAGGAGAGAAACAAGGATTACTGTATTTCAAATTATATTTTATTTATCATAAGATCACAATATAAAATAAAGTCAGCTAGAAAAATCATTTCAATCATGTTTATAGAAAACTGCACTAAATTAAGGTGGCAGAGAGCACTTTAGCTCAGATCTCTAAAGCAATTAAAATATTTAAAAATATGTGTTTATAAAAGATGAATGAATCCATTATCACGTTGGAAAATAACAAGGGATCCAACTACTGAAGAGAAATTTTAAAGTCCTTCTAAGATGAAAGCAAATGAAATGGTTCAAAATCCACAGACCAAAATATATGCAGAAGCAAAATAATACTAATATAAGAGGATGCCTGCAAAAACTATAAATATAAATGAAAATGTAAAAAATTTTATCTAAGTAGATTATTTACTACCCCTCAATTTACTGACTTTCAGGCTACAAGATGTTTTGTCATATGACAATAATCCAAGAACTTCTCTCTTAGCAGAATGACATGTTTACCCAGGGAGACAATCTAGACTGAAAAGAGGCAACAGGCACTCTATGTACAGGAGAAGCAGATCAGGGATTTAGTGCCTTGCTGCCTTAGACCTAAGGCAAATATCACCTCCTTTGTTCTTGCTATAAACTGAAGAATCAGTTGCGTCACCGGCACAGAAAAGCAAAAGAGGTCAGCTTATATTTTGAGTAGCAGCCTCCCAGTTCTACAGAAAGCTCAGGTAGATTTGAAACATTTATTTTCAACTTTATCTGAAAAAAATTAAAGAATAAGATCCTAATTCTTTTAGCTAAAGAATAATGACAGGAGTAATGGCCTGAGCACAAGTAAAGCACATTAGAAAGTTAGTGCTAAAACAGGTGGAAGATGCCTAAGAACTTATAGGGGAAACGTGGACTTTAGAACTTAAGGATCAGAGAAGAGAGACAAAACGGGAGATGTTAGTAAACCCTGATTCTCTAAGTCTTACTGAAGAACTATCTCATTTTTCAAGCAACTGAAGGATTTTAAACATGGGAGTTTTGTGATTAAAATGCCTTTTAGGAAAATTCTCTAAATCCCAAAGAGATTCACTGGAGATTGTACTAGAGAATGATAAAACCATGATGGCCAATGACTTTAGTGACCTGGAC